GGCAATGTTCATAAAAGCTAAGGGGGGAAAGATTGTCCCAGAAGGAGGGGGTGATCACCAATGTTAAAAATTTGGAGAGAAGTTAGCAATTTGATCTGTAATGTCTGTGCTTACTATAGGTACATCTTCAATGAGAAAAAGAAGGTAGTAAAACAGACACCTCTGAATCACTTTTTCTAAAAAGCCAACAACAGGTGATTGTAAGCCATCCTCAGAAGTCTCCTAGAGATACCTGTGAAGATTTCTCCCAAAGCCCTACAAGATCCCCTGATTGTTCTGGAGGTTTTTTCAGTCATCTGATTTATTTCATTAAAGATAAGAAAGGAAATATAAAAGAGAACTTTTTACAGTTTATATTTATGACACTTTATTATTTGTGCTTTTAAGGGATTCATTACTCATTTAGGTTTATATAATTTAGAAACCTTTATTCTGTGATATATATAACTTGATTAAATTAGGCACTTAAGTCATTCACCTTTGGTCAGGAACTTAACCCTTAGTCATGCCCTTATTTGTATAGGAAAATCAAATTCTCCTCACAGTACAAGAGAGGAAAACCTTACCCAAAACATAAGGACTCCTTACAGTTTTAATTTTTTAATTTCTAATAATAATAAATTTAAATTAAGATATCTTATTTTTGGTTTTTGCTTGCCTTTCTGAGCCTGATCTTTCTGGTTCCATACTAATGGAACCAAAACTTTTTCCTGAGTACAAAATGCAGTTGTTCCTTAGGGCAGAAAGAATTAAATATTTCCTTAAAATTCATGCAGATAATTTTGTTAATTACAGAGAACGCCTCAGTTTTTGAAATAACAATGATTTTTGTAAAAATTTTCTTAATCCATTAGATCTAACATAGAGGGAAAATAATTATCCACATTGAATTTGGAAGGGAAAGGCAAAAAAAGGAGAAATTATTTTCATATAATTATATGGCTAATGAATGGTAGAACTGGGAAATATAATTTAAGTCTCCATTCCCTTCCTACTAAAAATTAATTTATGCCAGCCTTTGAAATCAAGCATGTACTGACTAGTAATTGGAAAAGATGCAAAGGTTGATGTTCACCCATTTCCAAGCTCGTTTAACCAAAAAAAAATTCAAATCAGAAAATTGTTTTCAAGCCTTGTAGTAGTGCTGTAGAATGTAGTGGGGAAGAACGGGGTGAGAAGAGATGTTTACATCGTAATGACTAGAACAAAAAAGTTCAAAAGGAATTTGTTTTATGTGTTGAGCTGAAGACTAGTAGCTCACCATGCACATTAAGAGAAAAGAAGATTAGTAGGGGTTGTGGGGTGTGTGTGTGTGTGTAGGCATGCATGTAACTCAGTTTTTCTTTTTCTTCAGAATACTATATTGTAGAATATAATAATATTTAATCAGATTTAAAGCATTTCGAGTGGACCCTCTGGGGAAGTCACAGAACAAGTCGGAGAGCATGAGAAGATATGGGTAGATCGCGGTCTGTGCTAATGGGTTGGGGGCATCCACATCAGTGAGGTCACCGATCTTTTGAAGAACATTTCCAAAAGTACTGTTTAGTGAATTTGCATTTTCTTAGAAAATGACTAGATTAAAACAGTATGAAATTGATTCTGCAGACTGTTTGTCTTTGAATTAGCTGGCTGAAATGTTGCTGCTTTAGAAACATAATCAGGACTAGTTTAATAAGAAATAAGAAAATATTTCAAACTGCCATTGAAACTTATTCAGTAATAATCAGTAATAAAGTTTAGTGACATTTGCCAATCTTATAATCTAGCATTCTTTTTAGTTCACTGTTTAATAAAGGAATTAATAAAAGTGATTACTTTTAGTAGCTCCCTAGGGAAAAGCTAACTTTCTGATTAAATTCCTCAGCAGTTTAAGTCACTAGTTAGTATCAATTTACAACTGAATGTTTTTGATCTAGTGGTTGGGAAGTTTTTATATGGTAATCAAATAGCATTTTTTGACTGATGTTGAAATAAAAAAATTTGTGGCAGCATTCTAGAGGTGAGAAAACAAATTTCTATTTTCTTTTGCCAGGGGACAGCTAATGTATGTTATTTAGCTGCTACCAAATCCACTTAGTTATTGTTCATTTTCAAATCTAAAAGCTGCCAGGACTAAGTCATTATATTCCCTATGGTTACGCTGTCCTGTCTTATTGTCTGCCATGTTGGAATTTGACCCATCCTTTAGTATCCAACTGAAATGCTCCTCTCCATGATGCCTTGCCTGTTCACTTCAAGTAAAAATGATGTCTTCCCTTCTTTTAAGGCTGCTATACATCTCTTTTGGCACTAATTTCATACTGTCTTTTAACATATTAATTTGTATGCCTGTCTTTTGAATTCCTTGAAGGCGGACATCAATCCTTGTTCATCTTTGTATTTTCCACAGCATATGTGGAAGATAGCACTTTACATATATTATCTCATTTGGTCCTCACAGCAACCTATTAGGTAGGTGTTATCATTATCCCCATTTTATAGATGAGGTAACTGAGGCTGACAAGAGGTCACTTGCCCAGGGTTAAATAGCTAGTAAGCATCTGAGGCGAAATTAATTTAAAATAATGCCTCACACACATATACGGTTATCCATTCTATATCATGGAGATTAAGAACATGGCATTCCTGCAGTCTAGAAAATCTGCATAAAATTTTTTGGCCCTTCATACCAGAGAAGAAGCCTTTTTTTTCTTTTATGGGGTGTTTACAATACCTTATTGTAAAATTTGGGTTGGTATTATACAATACTATGCATATATTTTATGCGTTTCTGACTTTCTGAACTTTTTCCTTGTTTTCTGCTGGCCTTCTCATGTTGTTTGCGGCTTCTGCAAAACTCCCCAAAATTTCCCATTTCATTTCTTATAATCTATGATACAGCAAAATTGCAGTGGGAATACTCACAATGTGGAAGTCTTAACTGTGTATCTGTTAAATGGATGCTCATTTTCAGTATTTTAAACATCTGGTCCAAAACGTTAATTCACTGCTCTGAGAGCCTTTAAGTAGGAGGTAAATCATTTGTGGCCATCAAGGAACATCATGTTGAGGTTATTTGTGGTCATGTGAAGGAAGATATAGAATGTGTTTTCTAAACTGATAAAAGAATTTGAGAGTAGCTTCCATGCTAGCCTGGTTATTATTGTATAGAAATTGTATAGAATCTATTTTATATAAGAAGGCTACAGCAGGCTATAGCTGCTACTGAACGGTGGTCTCGCTTGTCCGTGTGTCTTCACTTCCTGCCCTATAAATAACTCAATTATACTAGTACGTTTTGAGTGCTTAATAAATGTCAAGTGTTTCTGTGAACAAATAAACAGTTGCCTTCTCGTTTCATCAAAAGTTGAAATGCTTTTAGCTAATAAAAGAATATCTTGCAGTGACAGATGCTACAACTATTGCCGTTTTTACTTCTAGTATTACATGTTATAATCACAATGTTAATAAGCAGTTACATTGTTTATTATAATTTATCATAATAAAATACATCATTTATTAATTTGAGATAATGTAAAATAGAGATACATATTACAAATTCTCAAATCATTCACATAATCACTAACATGGTATTTAAATATTTAATACTGCTGAACTATATACCCACAATATAAATGTCTTATTAGCGAAACACCTGTTGAGTTGAAAAACAAACTTCTGTGGTGCAAACTCACTATGGCACACAATGCTATACATACTATTGATTTTTTTTTAAGTTAAAACATTAAATTGCTTTCTATACCAGGAAAGAAACATAAGGCTAAGGACTATTATGAGAATACAGGAGGCCTAGAGTATTTCCCTTCTTCCTCAAAAAATAAAATAAACACTCTTGTTTGCCATTAGACATTAATCTGTTTATCTTTTCTAGTCAGATTATATCATTTCGAGGTTCTATAACTCTTAAGCTTAAGGCCAGCCAACCACGAATTGTTGAAAAAACAGGCCTGCATTTGTGCTGTGAACAACAGATCTGTTACATGAAAGGATAGGTTATAATTTTTTTTTCATTTCCAAGTATGCATAGGATCCTTATGTGTCTCACTTTAACTAGTTTTCCCAAAAGCCTGCATGTGACAGAGAACTCCCGTTTTAACACTCTTTAAAGCTTATAATTTAGAATTCACCCCAAGATGAGTGCATGCATTCCCAAATTCATAACATGACTACCAAAGAGGAAAGAAGTCTCTGCACTCAAGAGGAGTCAGATTTCTTCCTTTAAAACATATGTTGTCCATTGTATATAAAAAACAGTTAATCCACATCAGGATATGTATTTTCAGTTATCTCTGCCCTTCTCCCTACACACACACACACACACACACACACACGCACGCACGCGTGCGTACCTTCCCCATGCACCCCACTGATGGAGGGTTTCTCTTAACTGAGACACATTGTTTCACCAAATCCTCTTGCTAAGTTGTGACAACACTTATCTGACTGGCATTAGAATAGTAGCCTATGGCCATGGAATAGAATGAAACTAAAGTTTCTTCCTGGTAATTCTGGTGTGCATTGCCTGGATGGTTTAAACATTCTTGGTATCATAGATTTTGATTACATCCATGTACATCCTACATTGATGCTTTAGTGTAGTGTGAAGAGCCTTCTAGATGCTTGCCATTATTATCATATGCTCCACCAGCTGGAAAGACTCTAGAATGGACCTGGTCATGGATTATTATTCAATGACCAACTTATTTACACTGGAAGAGCCCATCCCTAAGTTGGCCAAAGAATGACAAGTCTTTCAAGCACAGAAATTCTCCAGGATAAGACCATCTGCTAGATGGCTTGTGATCGGCATAGATGAAGGAAGGGAGTACCCTCACTGTTTGAAATCACAGATTTTGGAGTTTTGTTAGGACTAATACAATATTTTTCTTCTTAATTCACAGATTTTTAAAGTAAGTGTACATTTAAAAGTACAGTTTTTGTGATGCAGTATTTTGAGTGCACACCTGTAATCTCACCCTTTTTAAATACGTTTACAGAGGCCACAAGCGGAAGCTGAATGAGGACGATGCTGCCAGTGAATCTAGTAAAGAGTCCAGTAATGAAGATGAGGAGGGAAGCAGCTCAGAGGCAGATGAAATGGCAGCTGCACTTGAAGCCGAGTTGAATGACTTCATGTGACATCTGGAAGGGAGGAGGATTTGTAATTATGTTTTATTTCTTGTAACAGATCACAGATTTCAAATGAGCCCCATATGGTAGCATTCAAGTTATTTTTTTTTGTCCCTCAAAGCCAGTATGTATATTTTGTAAATCAACACCAAAAGGCGACACATTATTTTACACAATCAGAAATAGGTGTTTTTAAGGTGTTTTACTACAGTCAAAGTATACTTTTTTAAATAGCAAAAGTGTTAAAAGGGGAAAAGGGGAATTAGTGTGCAATGCCAAAGAAGTGTTGAATTTTACAGAATATATAGTAGTAGGAGGGTTTGTGATTTATTGACACATTGCAGGGTTGTGTTTTTTTTTTAATACCACAGCACATGATTTGGAGTAAAAGATTTCAGGGGAAGAGATAAGATAAGAGGAATGATGTAGCAAGAATCTGATGATTCTAGTCATGCTTTTTCACAGCTAAAGCTATCAAAAATATAAAAAGGATTTTAAAATGCAAAACACTTTATATTTGTATAGAAACTGAAAATGTGATATGCAGGCTTCATGAACTCTGCACTTGACATCCACGTCACTTGCTTCCGAAAGAATACATAATGATCAGATTTTCTATTTTTACGTTACTTTCTGAAATAGTTGGGCTCTTTAGAAGACTATTGTTTAGATTTTAAACTTTGCTTCTGTGTAACCTGGAATTTTAGCACAGTATATGTGCTCTGCCATCCTGTACTGCCATAAGGAACTTATTCACGCATTTGTTTTCTTCATAAAAGGAATGAGTGCTAGTTTATCTTAGATAGGATTTTATTTCTTTGGCTGAGAGATCTGATGTAAAGTTTTTGTATATTCTATTTCATATTTGACCCACCAAACAGATTTTTCTTTCATTTAATAAAGATCCATTTTGTAAATTCCCTTCTCTTTTGTGAATTGAAGTAGTGTGTGCATTTTATGACATTCCTTTGATTAGATGGATGCAATTCATCTATCTACCTATTACTTCAGCACTAACTTTATTAAGAACGATCTGCCTTTCTGCAGAGTAGCAAATCTTTCTTGCTAAAGCCTTGTCTTATTCTGTGCAGATGTCATTTTATTTTATTTTGTTTTGTTTTGGTCACAAAGCTAATACAGATAATTAAACAATACTTCACTGAAAAAGTTTTTAAGTTATCAAAAATTATTTTTTTAAAATTTCACAGTCTTTCTACTTATTTTTCAACGGGGAGCTTACTACAAGATATAAAAAATTTTCAGAGGATGATTTATAATTGAATTTCTGAAAGAACCTAAAGATGCCAGGAGTAGAATAAAATTGAACAACTTTAAGGAGTTTAATAGACTTCTGAACTTTAGAGAGAAGAGCAAGATGCTACAAGTGTTGCCTGATGATCACAAGACACTTTTTTTTTTCAAAACCTAGAAAAATGTCTTCCACATATTATACTTCTGTTACTGGTTTTAGCAAACAGAACTTCAAATTTGTTTATTGTTTATTCCATATGGTTTTCTTGGTCAACTTTACTCTTAGCTAGCATGAGACAAAATTGGCTAATAGGTGTTCCAACTAAGACTGAAAAATTCTACTACAAGGCTTTTCAGCCTTGTCACACATTTCTTAACTTCTTGAGTGACGCTGAGTTAAGGCAGTCTTGGCTTATTGATTCCTTTGAATATCCCTTTCCATTTTTTAGATCCACTATAAAATTTCAAAGTGTCCAATTACTCAGTAGGAGGCATTTTTGAGTAGTACTTTCCCAGAAGTTGAAAATAGTGTTATACTTCATATTTACTCAAAAATGTATGAGAGTATTTCACCTGTTGTCTTCAGTCTAAATTGTGGATAAACTTGAATGGAAGGATTGGTGGGGGCTGGTAAGGGGATTAAGTGGCAGGGCCAGGGTTTGAATGCAGGTAGTTTGACTCCAAATCCAGAACTAGACTGTTCCCTACTAATCCATCTGCATGAATGGGGTCAAAGACTTATTGAAATCCTAAGTGAGTTTTTTGTTTCAATTTATTTGATAGAATGGCTTGTTTTAGAGTCTAGAACCAATTATGTTACCAATTATTACCTTGGTTCAATGAAGGTAATTTTGAGTGATGATCAACTCTGGTATTTGTTGCATTTATTTGCCTAAGGTTGTCAATGTTAATATCTGTCTTCCAACTGTATTTGAAGCATAGAAGGCCAAGTAGTCTTGGCCTTGAAGTAGTCTTTGGAATAGGGGAGATCAGAGTTTGAAAAATGTATTGAAAATATCATAGTTTAATTTCTTAGAAACTTCTCTGTTACTCTTATGACCACCACTTCACAGAAAGCACTCTCTTGGCATGAGTTGCAGAGCAAATTTCCCTTCTGTCTATTTTTCCCCGGGTAACTGGCTACTTGGAAATAAAATGAAAGGCTAATTTAAAGCAACTTTTTAAAAAACTAAGACAATCAAAAGACAACATCAGATAGACCTTCATACTCTTCATTAAACACAGATTCAAAATCTGTAAACTGTAGTGAAAGTCTTAATCTCACTAAATGCATCATTGCTATTTCTTTGTTGTATGTACTTTTGCTATAGCAGCAATGAAATCTACATCTGGTTTTCAAAACACATTAAAGATTTTCCATTCAAAAAGAAAATCCACCTTAAATTGATTAAATTGTCTGTGATCAAATTAAGACAAATACTCCCTCATTAGTAGAGAAATAGCCAAGTCTGAATTTGGAGTCAGAAGACCAGGGTTCAAATGCTGGACTTGCAGCTTAATCCCTTTGTGATCTCAGCCAAGTCACTTATTTTTGGGCCAGAATTTCCTCACCTGTAAAATGAGATTGGACCTCCAAAAAATGAAAATGTTACAGTGGAAAATGTTACCTCCTGACTGGGAGGTGATGGGCTTAGGGTACTGAGGGGGAGGGATTTTGATTAAGTTGGGGAGCGGGGGTAGAATTAGGTTAAAAAAAAAAGTGCTGGGAGTCACAGAACCTGAGGTCAAGTTCCAGCTCTGCCTTTCTGGTACCTGTATGACCTTGGTTAAGTCCCCTAACCTCTCCAAGCTTCAGTTTTATTATTTGCAAGATAAGAAGCTAGGACTAGCTCTAAATCTGTGATTCCATGACAAATTCCTTTCTGCTCTAATTCTGTGATCCCTCTGCTATTATAGATTACAACCTATCCATGTACTCTCATCCTGAACAATTCTTGTCTGTGCTTTTCTATAAGTCCTCACAGGATCTATGTTGCATATTAGAGGTATTCTGTTGTTTTTTAAACATTTTATGGGTGTAATTGCAGCACAACCTATCCTTCTCTAACAGATTATATAATAAACTCAAATTCTTTTCCAGTCATACATGTTTTAAGGATGTCATGGTAATTTTCAACCACAAATCATTGTTCATAATATGTCAGTCTACTTCTGCCCTCCTTGTGACTTTCCATTGCACTTTGAATAGTCATCCACAATTGTGATTCTACTGAGATTGTGATATTCCATGATTTGCAGACACATAGCAGCAACAGAAATATAGCAGTGTTGAAAAGGTGGTCTTTTGTGACAAGGAGAACTTAAGATCATCTGACAGTGCAACACTGTCAAATTGTTACCTCCTGTTCAACTTGGGGTTCAGCCTCTCCATCTATATAGCACCTGTCTAAGACAGGGAGCCTGCTGAGTTAGAATACCATTAAGTAAGATACGGCAGTGTGCATTCTTAATCTGTTTTGTTATTTGGACATGAATGGTTAGGTTAGTCTCTTGAATGATTGCATCTCAATGAGAAATCCCTGTAGTATTTCAGAGTTTTATGCAGTCAGGATGGTGGTATTGACAGGCAATCCCAAGTAAGAAGAAAAAGCCAAGGCAGAGATAGAATTGTGAACATGAGACCACTTTTGCAGAATAGGGATTCTTAACCTGAGGTCTGTGGATAGATTTCAGAAAGTCTGTGAACTTAGATAGGAAAAAAGACATCTTTTTTCCCCACTAATTTCTAAGTGAAATTTTAGCATTTTCTTTACTTGTTATAGGCAGCAAACATTCTAAGAAGAGCTCCATAGGCATCACCATATTGCCAACGAGGTCTGTCTCTCTCATACACACACACACACACACACACACACACACATATACACATACATGCACACACACACACACACGCACACACACACTCTTTTGCCATAAGTATTCCTACACAAGCAAGATGGGTTGTTAACCCCGACTTTGGTTGACAATTCATTCATGAAAGTTGATTGCTTTTTTTCAGAAATAAAAATGCAAATGCAAAAATTTTACTTGTCATACAGTATTATTATATATTGAACAATTTCAGGATGCTACAATAAGAAGTCACTGATCATTTAGATCTTGAGCTGTAGGTTACTATCATTAAGTATATTGAAGACATTTAGTCTTGGGGCAAGAAAACATTTAGTTAAATTTTAAATTGGCATTCTGAATTTAATTTGAATACATGCAATTTCAACTTTCTACTACAAATCATCTTCATAAATTTGTTTTATACTTGTGAACAATGCTGTTGGTCATCAATAGAGGTTTTTTAGGAAAAGTAAAGAGCAAACTAGTGGCCAAAATAGATTTGAAAATGTAGGCAAAACAAACTCTAGTAGAGTCCAAGTCTTTTTCTGAAAAGATCATTTCTAGAAGTTTTGTTCTGTTTGATTACCACCTTTAATCTGTTTTCGCATGGCTTTTTTTTGTTGTTGTTTTTGACCTTCTACATGTACATATTCCTAAAGGGAAAAGCCTGGAAAGGACTTTAGGCTGAAGAAATATTTATTTCTTAATATTTTCACTTTAATTAGAAAGAGGATTTTTAATATGCTTCCATACTGCCATTCTGAAAGGTTTTTTTTAACATGCTTCCACACTCCCATTCCAAGGTAAGGTTTCTTCTATCAAGCTCCTCATTTATTAAAATAAAAATTAAAAAGATAACTATTTGGGAAGGGTTAGCAACTAAACAAGAAATAGCAAGGATGTGGGTGAGTTTAAAAAATATATTTCCCAGGCTAATTTCAGTGTTAATTTATGTAAAGGCAAGGAGTGGATACATGAATAAGGTCTTCTCAAAAACTCATTGCTCCTTCATATGATGATATGAGGTTGTTTCCTAATATAAAACTAAAGGGATTTTTTTTCTCCCACTAGAGGGCATTATTTAATATTCACTGATCTAAGGAATTTGACAAAATACATTTTCAAATATTTAATATCTATTTTTTAAAATTAATTTTTTAACAGTCTTTTCTTTTTAACTTTTGAGGTCCAAATTCTTTCCCTCTCTCCCACTCCCTTCTCCACCTGAGAAGCCAAGCAATATGATATCAATTATACATGTGAAATCATACAACACATATTCCCATGCTAGCCAATTGTAAAAAATAAATATAGTGGGAAAATTGTATGTCAGTTTGCACTCAGTTCATCAGGTCTCTCTTTGGAGGTGGATGGTATTTTGATCATGAGTCCTTTGGAATTGCCAAGTTTTTCACAGTTGATCATCATTACAGCATTGCTGTTTGTGTGCATAATGATCTCCTGGTTCTTCTCTCTTCAGTTCACTTCACATCAGTCTTGCCATGTTTTTCTGAAACACCTCCCTCATCGTTTCTTATAGCACAATAGTACTTTGTCACAATTGTATGCCACAACTGTTCAGTTGATGAGCATCCTCTTGATTACCAGTTCTTTGATACCACAAAAAGGGCTGCTACAAATGTGTTTATACATATAAGTCCTTTTCTTTTTTCTTTGATCAAGGATTCAACTACCTCAAAGAAAATGGAAGAATTTTTTTTTTAATACTTTTGGAGGTTGAAAGTTGAGTGCTAAAATATATTGAAGTCTGAAAAGTGGGACTTTAATTTTTTTTTTAATTCTCAAAAAGGAC